GTTTTAACGGAGCGGTGCAGTGCGCGTGCGCCTGTGCGGCGGGCGCATCCCATCCCGATGAGGAACCGGGCACGGTCCGGTACGGAGGGGCTGCGGCTAAAGGTCCCGCAGCTTTCGGGAGAAGCCCCCGGACGCAGGTGCGTGTGGCGCGGTGCCGGAGAGCCCGGGGGGGCCGTTCGCCTTCGGGAGAGGCTGCGGGATGCCGATCCCGCCGCGCCTGGGGATCTGGTCAGTGCCGCATCCCCCCCCCGGCTCAGGCACAGTCCCCATCCGCACTCGGCTGCCGCTCCCTCCCGGCAGGGGCAGGCGTGGAGTTGCAGGACCAGACGACTTCCAGGTGCTCAGTTTTTTTGGGGGTGCCTTGCTTACACCAATTAGCCAGACATCATATAAACGCATGGAAAGAGGTTTCTGAAGTAGACTGACGTCCTAGCCGTGGTTGCAGCCTTGGAAACGGGTCATTCATTTGCCCTCGCGAAGGGTTCTGCATCTGCTTATTAATATGGTGAGACTTGTGGAACCTGTGTACTGCTGTAGTGTTGGGTTCCCAAATAATGCTCTTCACATTGCTTCTGGGAGGTGCTGAAGATTGTGTAGCTGCCAGGTGTAGTATTTTGAGAAGGCAGCTAAACAAAGCCCTTTAGCGTGGCCTTAATTGCTGTGCTCACTCTACTACTGGATCGTCTGTTATTGTGTAGAAAATTCCTAATATTTACTACTCAAGTCAGAAAAGCAAATTTTTTTTCAGAATTACAAGATTACTTTAAGGTTGCCTGTTGTGGACTTGCTTTATATTCAGATCTCCACCCATCGTACCAGCATGGGTAGAGAAAAGCATCACAAATCTTATATTTCCATACTGCATGACAGCTTATTGTTTAGGTAAACTTCTCTCATTTTCTTTCACAATTTTACTCTACAAATGCTGAAACAGGTCATTTGTGTTGTAAAGCAACTGCCTTTGTTTTCATTTGATTCTGTTAGTGTACAGGTCTGCCAGCATCAGTGGCCATGTAACAAAGGGAGTTGCCTTCAGTTCATATTCTTTCATGTCAGGTTGATTGCAGAGATCATCATTTGAGAGGCAAGTGGATTGAAGCAGCAGCCTGTAGAATGCCAGCGTTGAGTAAGAACTGTTTCCCAAGGCAGAATAATTTCTCCAAGTTTTGTGCAGGGATTCATGTCTAAAACATGACAGGCTACAGATGTGGCACAGCACTGTGATTCTGCGTTTTGATCTTTGTGCATGAGTACCGTGCAGTTCCAGGAGCTGGGTGCATGTTAGGAGGGATTTAGAGTCAGCAGCTGAGTCTCATGAGCAACATCTGCAACAGATGTTAAGATCGGATAATAATATCTATCAGCAACTGAAAAACTGTTTGGACTAATGAAAAGCACCAGTGAGTTGACTGCTAATTGCTACCCCTACATTAGTTTCTGCGCCTTGTCTGCAGAAGCCCGTCCCTTTTACATAAAGCACAGCTGCAAAATTTTGTAGCTACATGGTGTGTGAAGCACTTCCCTTGATTCGCTCTTCCTGGTGAAACACCCTGTTTACCAGGCACCTGAACTACTGGTCTTAATCAAGCCAAACAGGTTCAGCATCTGGCAGAACCGTGTCACTGCTGAATTCAGTCTAGTAATTGAAGGACTGAAAATGTCAGACTGCAGTACAAAAATCTTGATCCTAAGAACTTGCAGGATGTCATGCAGGTGGAAAGCACACGCACCAGCCTTTAGTAGAACAGTAGGTCAGCCATTGGGCCCAGGAACTATTCTGCACAGGTGGAACTGAATTTCATTGCTTCTTTCAATGACAGAACACTGTTCCAGATGACATTCTTCTAGCAGTGTCTGGTGGCCGTGGAAATCCTTTCTGTTATCCAACACCAAACACATCATTGGGTATCAAGTGGAGTTTTCTATTACTCTACCAAAGGAAAGAACCACCACCTCCCACTCTCTCAGTCCAGTGGATGCTTTGTGTCTTCTGCTTCTGTGTTCTAAATCACATTTTCTTTCTCCAGACTATACCTATTTTAAAATCATCTCTAGGTAGTCTTTTTTTCCTCCAGTTTTTTTTTTACTTCTTTTTCCTCCGCTTTCAGAGAATTAATATAGTATGTGAGTTCTTTAGTTTTTCCCTCATTGAAGAGGAGCAAACAAGACCAGTAAAAAGACAGAATCAGTTCTGTTGCTGCTGTATTACCAGTTTCAGGAATGTGTTGAGTGTTGCTGTAGTTGACTCATTTTTCGCTTATTGCACCACCCAGTACTCTTACAATCCAGGATATTAACTGGTAGATTGCAACTGCAGAATTTCAAGTGTGTAATTATTTGACAGGTTAGTGCCACTGCCCAAAATTAATATTAGTAACACTGTGCTATTGAGGATAATGAAAATTATGTCCTGTTAATATGTCTTACCTCAATTTTTCTACTACTAGTAGAATAACACCATTTTACTGTTAGTAAAAACGAACACAAGGTATTATGTACAGCTATTCAAGAACAGAAAAGGGAACTTGGATATATAATTTCTTGCCCTGTTCTGGAACTCTTTCAGAATTATAACTTTGTTAATTCTCATCACATTCCCACATAAGTTACCACTGTGAAAATAATTCTGTATATAGTAAACTATATGTAACAAGGATTGCAGAATATGTATTTCTAGGTGAGATGTTTGAAATGTTCAAATTTAAAGAAATAATGCAAGATGTGAATTTTTTCTTTAATAATTTATCTCAATACAATGATTGCCCACACTTTTTTGATGTAGAAACCAGAATCATAAAGCCTCATATAATTGATGAAGTAGGTAGGATGAGAGAAGAGTAATGGTTATTTTCTTCAATTATCTCACAGTCCTACACCTGCCCTACAATACTCAATTTAAACAGTGATGTATCAGATTTTTGCCATACAGTAAGGATAATGTAAATTATCCTTTTCTAGGCAAGTGATTAGCAAACTCTTATATGTTGCATCAAAATGACTCACAACTTGTCTATGGAATATCAGTAACAGTCTCTAACAAATGGGAAACTGTTGAGGTCCCTGTTCTGCTGATGAGACAGACATCAAAATTTTCATGTACAGGTGTAATGTATAGGGAAGAACAGTGGGACAAGGCCACAAGTTCTGTCTGGCTTTACAAATGAGAAGAGCATGCCATTCTAGACCTTTGGTTTTGTATACTTGGAAGTTTGAAACTTGGCAGGTCTAAAACTATGTTTCCCTTCAACATGATTAGGCGATCCCATTCATTTCAGATTTAGGTACAGAACTGAGTATCTGCAGTACATGATAGCTCCACAATGCATGCAAAATCCTCCTTTTTATCCAACATATACTTCAAAAATACTTTCCTGCTTTCACATCAGGTTAAAATAAGGTGAGGCTGTATGAAATAGAAAACAACTTTGTTGTTATAGTTGAGCAAGCAGCTTAGACTGGGATACTGAATCTGTCTTTGCATCCAGATATAATATTCCCTCTGTCTCATGTCTCAAAGTGCTACATAGTGCCAGATGCCTGGCCTGCTGCAAGGCCTGAGGCTATTACAAACACAGTGACCTTTCAGAAGAGCATTCAGGAACTTCAAATGACAGATAATATTTCATGCCATGTACTGTTTTCTCTAATGCACTGTCTTCTATACAAAATTTTTTTGCATGCTTATTCAGAAACTGCTTCACTCATTACTTGTATTTATTTGTTAAATCTACTTTTCCATTTGTATGCAGTTGGATTATTTTGTTTTATAAATTTAGTAATATGGAAGAGCTAGCAAGGTTATAATACAAATGATTGACAAGTATATTTTGCTCTCAAAATTACCAGCTGTAACACTACTTTTTAATATATCAAGGCACTTCACAGAGCTTATTGAAATAAAGGTGGTGCATGAACAGACTACATGAGATACTCATTACGCAGGGAATCTGTAAAACCAAAATTTAACTCACAGGAGGGAGCAGAGTTTTGGGAACTGCTGTTAATCAGACTATCAAAACCAAATATAACATAAAATCATAAATAATACAGTTTTTCTATCACATTAAGAATGTAAGTTCCATTGCAGATTTTGGAAGAGGCAGACACAATATGTTCTCAGGTGACCGATGTGTCCACATTTCCTAATTTATAGGGAAATGTATGCCTGGTGTATACACATTTGCTGAATTTTATAAGCATAGGTATTAAGCATCAATATGCAGTCTGTTGTGAAACAAAATATCTTTTTTATATCAAGAGAAGTGCCTCAATTTCCCCCCGATTGTTAAAAAGAGCTGGCACACAGCAGTAAGGTCAAAGAAGGAACTGCAGATCAAATGCCCATTGTCAGATATTACTACCCTTAGCCATGTGTTAAACTGTTGTATATTCTGTCTTCCCTCAACTGCATACCTTGTCTCTACTGAATAAACTTGTCGGGGAAGTTGCTTCTTGTTGCTGTTGCTGTTCATTCTTTCAGTAGAGTACTCCTGCTATTTGGAGAGGTTTTTTGGTAACATGATAAAAAGAATTTTCACATATTTTCTGGTGACTGTATGGTGCTTAAGATCAAGAAGAATAACTTTTTACTGAACCTACCAGATTATTTTTTTTAAACACAATGGTGCTCAGATAACCTTTCCTGTTTGTATGTGTTTGTTTATAAAGTGGAAATAAAAATAATATGATGAAGTTTTGTCAGATAATCTCCTTTCAGTTTGGTTCCTTGTGCATTTGCCAGAATTGCCATTGAGTGAGTTGTATTGTTTCTTCCAAGAACCTTATAAAAAGTTGAAAGAATTTTCATGGACAGATCAAAAAATGCAACTTTGACCTCTCAGTGATCATAAGTGGACTTGTTCAGTGAGTCACTTTACAGAACCACTTTTCTTATAATCTGGAATTATGATTAAGCTTTGCAGTAGTTAAAACCTTGGTAAATTTGATATTCTAATTGCTGTTACTTTTTTTTTTTTGAAGAAAACAATCAGTGCACATAATTTACTTAGATTACAGATACTTTATTATTTTCAGACATTTCATTTTATATTACAAAAATGCTCACAGGTCAGCTCGAACTCCAAAGCCTGGTCCTTTGGGTGGTTCAGTCAGAGAAGTAAGGCCACCAGCTGGCTCACAAGAAAAACGTCCACTCCTGAAAAATGAAAGCAGTTTTACTCATTGCTGGTATTGTTACAATGTCAGCTTCTGTTGGTCACTGGGTAGAAGACAGTTACAAATCTGATTTAAGGCTGAAGCCACTAATTTTTTTTGTTCTTTTCATTCATCCTTCAAAAGAACTGTGATGCTACTCTTAAAAGGGTTTCAAATTCAAATAGTTCCGTAACTGAAATATAAGATAGGACCACTAGTTTTATATTTATTTATAGCTTGGCCAGGCAGCATCCAATTTTACCAGTCCTATTTTTGTTACAGATGCTTCCCTGTGTTTTTTGAAACTAACTGTTTTAGGATTATTGTTATTGTATAAAAAAAAGAAAAATCTTTCTAGAAACAATAGGAATAGGTAACACCTAAGACAAATTAATTTGTCCATTGACACAAACATGTAGTTGGGCTAAAACAGAACAGTGGAAAAAAAAAGATAAGTTCAGCAATAATAACCCTTTTGCAAACCTCCAATCTTTTGTGTTTTCTCAGAAATTGAAAAAAACAATACAATGAACCAACCAACACAGATTTGTTGGTTTAAATGATCTAGACAACATATCCAACAGGTGACAGTCACCTAAGAAGTACTAAGACAAATCAGAATTTTCACATTTCATATTTTCACATTTCATGCTCTTCTGGTCAGTCATCAAGAACATGTAAATTCTCAGTTCTTCCCAGTAAATTTTGGCTTTGAATGCATGCAGTTCTGTTCAGTAAATTAATGCTTTTTAGCTGTAGGTGGTGAACTCAAATCACTGGAATAGTAACTCAGTTTCTCAGAAGGATCAGCCTTCAAGAAGGTAGTATTATACAAATATAGCATACCTTGGGCCTGGCTTGGGAACTTTGCCAGCCTTTAGCTCATCAATTATGTCTTCAATATCTTTGGGTGTCAAATCTTCCTGTAAAAAAAAAAAAAAAAAAAAAGCCCTAATCTTAAAAAAACTGGAAGAGTGGAAGAGTCAGCAATTGTGCTAATTGCAGAACTCAAAGTTCATCAATTAGTGATTCTCTTAGGTATGACCAAAGAGAATAGATAATTTTGATCCTATTCATTAACACACATACTTGTTTAAAGAATTAGGAAAATTAAAAAGCCTACTGTCATTTTAATGTTAAAACTTTTAGTTTCTATACAGTTGCAGAAATTATGTTAAAACTAACAATGGTGATGCTGGCCTTGTACAACAAGGATTTGCGTTTTCAGCTTCCTTCTTGTATTAGTGAGCTGGATCTCTGCCTACCCACTGTACACATGGCACTGCACATAAGTGCAGAATGCTGCCAGCTGTGACCCAAAAAAATTGTGAGTACAGTTCAAGAGAACACTTCTTAAACAAATCCATGCTTTCCAACTGACTGCTTTCAAGTGCTTCTAGAAGCTTATCCAATACCTACCTATTTAAAAAGTCCAGATTTATAGGCAGACCACTATCACAAAAATGTGTCATTCCTCTTATACAATGCAAAATACAATGATACACTCCATACAGATGAAGTGTTCTAGGAAGAGGCCAAGAAACTAAAAGATGCTCTACATTATAAGCTGTCCCTGCCAATAGGAATTTGAAAACTGACTAAAACTTCAGAATCTGGAAAAACTGAAAATACAGGTAACCAGAAAGGAAATTTAATCTTTTAAAAAGGAATTTAGTACTTACGTAGTAATTGTCGTTTATTTGTACCATTGGTGCATTTACACAGGCACCTAAACACTCCACTTCTATCAGCGTGAAGAGTTTATCAGGTGTTGTTTCCCCAACTTTTATACCTAAACCAATAAACAATATTAGGCTCAACGGTGGTTATTGTACAAGAGGAATAAAGCATGAATCTAAGTACTCCACAGACATTGCATTACTTGTATTTTGGCCTTACAAGCATTTGCACAGTTAAACCCTCTTAAACGAGTCAAAATGTTTCCCTTGAACAGAAGATGCTAATAAAATATGAAGTGAGATTTCAGATACATTTTTGAAACCTCATTTACAGGTGTAATTCATTGAGAAATAACCATGAAATGACAATTCTAAGAAACAGATCTTCTCGGGAACATTTTTAGTAATACAAAGTAGGGAAACAGAGCTTTCATGTGCTGATAGGAAATGTTAATATACAGTGTTGAGTATTAAATTTCCAAATTAACACAATCCAAGCATTAACATCGCTAGCTGCAAGTTCATAAACAACTTCTAAGTTTATACACAAAGGATTATTTACTGAACAACACTGTACACATACCTAGCTTCCATGACATTATTCCACTGCTACAGATGCAGACTCTCCCCAAAGGCCAGTTAGTCAAAGTAACAGTCTGATCTCTACAAAATACTCATGGAACCCTGAATGCTGAAAAGCAGTTTTCCTCCAGTTCTTAGAAGGAAGGGGGGAATAAATAATAAAAGTCTAGGTAAGGCCTCTGTCTCTGTAAAAGCTACAGAATCATCCTTACTGCTTCAAGAGTTTCAGTTGAAATTAAGCTATCTTTGCAGTAACAAGACAAATTTCATCTAAATATGCCTTTTTCAGACAATGCAGTATATGAAATGCAAGATAATCAGCAGCTGTTCTGCAGCTCTTACCACTGGTTCTTGGGAAACGTAAGCACAGCTTTTGACTTCATAGAAGAGAAGAGTTGTTAAGTTGCTGATCTTACCCTCTCTTTCTCCCCATAACCATGCAAAAAGGAGGAAAAAACCCAACCCAACACAAAACCAAGGAGTACTCCTTACGTCCCACATGATGCAGCATTCACAATTGACTTTTTCCATGGAGAATTCCTGTTATGTTAACATCATGTTTGTCATCCAGAGGGGGCCTGACAGGCTAGAGAGGTGGGCCCATGTGAACATTTTTAAGTCAAACATGGCCAGTTTTTCTTTCCCATGTGAAGAGTTTTACTTCAGTATCATTAACCAAAGGTAAAAAAATACAAATGTGTTACAAATTTGTGTCATACCGAGTTTCTTCTTAATGGCTTCTAAAATACTGTCAGAGTCCCGCAGCATGCACGGTGTGGTAGTGCAGACCTGAATATGGTATTTCCCAACAGGTTTGCGATTGTACATGGTATAGAAGGTTGCTACTTCATACACTCTCATGGGAGGCATTTCCAAAACTTCAGCAACCTGTAACACAGGGAAAACAGACGCAATATTGAACTCTGACAGGGCAGCAGTAAAGGCATTTATAAAACCATTTCAATACAGTCACCTGTCCTCTGTTTGCAGTAATGGATAAATAAGAGTGAGGGGGTGGGTACCAAAGCACAAATGTATTCCAAGTGCCAAGACCAGACACCTGAGTTACTCTGACTTGTATCACCGTGCTTGAGCACAAACTCCACTAAGCCACAGATTAGAAAAGCAAGGAGCTGGAGTCAACTCCCCTCCAGCACCTAGTGTCACACAGGCAGATGCGAGGAGTCAGCTGGGTTTTAGCTTTCAATGCCAGCTCCGGCTCACACTGCACTTCTGCTGTGTGAATGAACAAACTTGTACCAGTCTGCCCACATTAACCTTTTGGTAAGGGAATACTTATAGGCTGGTACCACGCTCACCTAATCTTACAGAGCACGTCTCCCTCAGGTTCTGGGACACACCATGGCTACATCTGCAGACTGGTGTCACAGCTAATAAATAGGGAGTGAAGCACGATCTCCACACAGCGAGTTGTGCAAGTATCCCTGACCTCATTAACCTGGAACTCTGGCAAACTGCTCAAGTTGAGAACTGGCTCTAGTTTCAACAGTGTAACTGTTTTATGTTCCAGTTTCTATAGCATGCAAACAACAAATCATGGAAAAAATCTGTTCACTTCAAAGGCTTAAGATCCTTCTAAACGTAAAATCAATCTGGAACTTAAATAAACAAAAATACTTTGACAGCATTAATGGAGATTTGAGGCTTTTATGTTACGCTGTAGAAAAATGAGTTTCTCTTCTTTAAATGCGCATTTAACTCCTTCAGTAATTTCTGTAACAATCCTCACTTAGCGTATCTTGACTGACTTGAAATGTTTTCACTTTAAAACTGATGATATGCCAGATTGTAACATAAAATACAATGGATTTATTTGTATGAATATAAAAGATTTTTTTTTGTGGTATTTTGTTCCTGTCATGCAACCTCTCACTTTGGAGCAGTGTAGTTGCTTCCCTGCTTATTTTGAAACAATTTTAATAAATAATGTGATAAGTCTTCCAGGCACTTGCTATGAGGCATTTTCACAATACTCCTTACATCTAGTACACTAATGCTCCTCTGTAGAGACCCAGAGATTTAGGTCTCTTTACAGACCTAGAGATTAAGTACAATCCAGGCAATGTGTGCAGTGCCACTAATCCGGGAGGAGAAAAACCCCACCAACATTATCTTTGTTTTCTTTCCCCAAATTCAAAGAACAAAATCTTTGAAGCTTCTGTTCCTACTTCCAGGAAGATTCTGGGAAAAGAGCCTACCTGACTAGGGCTCATGTAATTTTTGTCTGTAGTTTCTCACAATGGCTAATATTATGTAAACAACAGAGCCCTGAGTTTTCTGCATTAGTTTTCCCTTTTATTTTTAAAAATGCAGTCTTGTAGGGAATTCTCACAGTTCTGTGCCACATGTCAATTCCCACGTTAGTATGCTTTGATAAATAAAAGTTAATATTCTAGTAAGATATTTAAAGAAAACAGTAAGATGATGCTTCAAATATAATTAACTACTAAATACCTTGTTCATAGCTGATATGGGCAACCATCCATGCTGTCTTTGGGCCAAATCCAGTACTGCCATGACAGCTGCAGACTTGTGTCCCTCTGGGTAGTTTTTTATGATAGCTTCTATTCGCTTTTTAAAGGGAAAGAAGGAAAACAAATCAGTATTGATCAAAAGACAAAGTCTGTATATTTAACCTTTTTTTGTCTGCATACCTTTTGGTTTTCAGGTGTGAACTCAAATGGAGTATCTGGATTATTTTCAGGACTATCTCTGTGCTTCAGGGGGAAAAAAAAAGAAAGAAAAGCATATAAAAATAGGTTCTCAGGAAATTATTCAGGACATATTTACTGTTGTAAAACATCTCATTAGACAGTTACAGTTGAGTTGCTTAAGTAAAAATGATATATTCCAGATAAAAATTTCATACTACTCAAATGATTAAATGTATTCTGAAAAGTTATAAAAATATTGATAAAGTCATTACTCAAAAACCATTACTTATTCCTGTTATTTCCTATTAAAAATTATTTATTGAGAAATATGGTGTTGTTATAAAATGCACTTCAACACTGATAATACAATTTGGCAATTATGTTCAAACTTAAGAGTCCTCTGGTTAATACCTTAACAAACAAGAAACTTAAAAAAAAAAAAAACAGCCCATTTCTCCTTTTACCATGAAACATTAATTTTACAAACTTCAAAATTTACCAAGAAGCTTGCTATATAACTAAAACATCTGCACATTTGAACACACATTATTAATCCATTTAAACATTCTTTTGGTTTGTAATGATTTTGAAACTTTAATTTTATATATCATTCTCAATCAGAATAGAAAAAGCAGAATTTTGAATTAGTATTTCCAAAATAAGGTATTCTATCGTATTATTTTTAAGGTAGTCTTCTAGGGAAACATTAAATTGAAATTAGTTCTTCTATTTTCAGAAAATACAAATTTGGAAGTCTTGAAGAGAGTGACATTTTCCTGTAATAAAACCTTAGTTCTGATGAAAATCCTTATTCACCAGAAAACCTTTCTGCACAAAATTTTCATATGTCTCTAAGCAGCTTTTTATGGTTTCCTTTAAATACCTGTAGTTAAATTCTGAACGTTACACAATTTTGAAACTGAGAAATTTTCATGTTAAGTGGGAAGTTGGGGTTGGAAAAGCAAGCTATATTTGAGGCTTCATGTTAAAAGTTATCCACAACCAGCTAATAATAAAACCTCTGAAAGTATATTTAGAAGAAAGAAGCCCCCTCTGCTGACTTTCACTTTGATCACGTCCTCCAGTAACTGAAGATGATTTTGCAGTTGCCACACTGTACTCTTCTTATTGAGCAGCAAAGGACTGAATGAAAAATCTTAACATTACATGATACTCACATATTGAAAGACCATCATCAGTGGAGATCTTAGAACATGTATGTCCATTGCTATTCTTGGATTTACAAAATTTAAGATGGAAATATTGAAAGGGCAAATATTTCAATTATATCTGCTGGTCTAGCCAGAGATTACTTTTGTTTATCCTGCCTATATCCCAAAGTAGATGGTTCTACTGCCACCATCAATTTGAAAGCATGTAGGCTCACCACAGTTTCAAGTCAAATACAGAAACTACAGCTGATAAATACTGCTCCACCAAGGATGACTTTCCCCTAATAAAAGGAATTACAGAAAGATAGCTGATACCTAATAAAATATTAGTGTATTCAAAGGGTATGTATTTATTGCTTATTGTGTAGTTTACAAGATAAAACAGCTTTTAGGAACACAATTGCTACTATTTCAGATTGATGCTTCCAGATAAACAATTTGACGACTTGTATGTAGTGTTGGTGAGGGTCTTCTACCAGTTTTAATCAAAGTTCTCAAAAAAAGGCTGATGGAGGAAAAAATTACTGGAATTACTGTGCAACTTTTATTTTTTTCCCTTATAGACCTTTACATGTCTTAGCTGCACTGGTCAAATCCATGATTCATGACAAGTATTTCCATAACTTAGCCTTTTCTTCTCAAATCTGCATGCCTATTTTATTTCAGACTGATATTATTTTGCCTTCCATAGCTATTTGATAGTTACAATTGTACTTCATCTCAATTTCTTTTGCAAATAAGTATATTTGATTTATTAAAATCTCTGTCTAGAGCAGCTGTTCTTTTCAGTGTATCATCTCTAAACTGGTATCCTTAAATGCCCTACATGTGTAGAAGAATAATAAAGACTTTTATATTGGAAGCTACAGATACAGCTGTAGTGAGGTTCCACGATGTATTGTAAAGGCTACACCAGGGGTAAGCACTAAATAAGATCATGCCACCTTTTATGTTTTCAATTTTCCTGAAAGGGCTTGATGTAATTCTGTGCCATGGAGAGTTCAATAGTTTTGATTGAGAGCTTACACAGTTCTGGGCCTCCTGAGCATTTAGAAATGTATTATATCTTCCCTAGTCTTACACTTGTCTGACAATGCACCATTTATCTGAGACTTGCATGCGCTTATTTGCTCCTAAAAGACAGAGGTGCATCTCCACCTTTTTTTGCAATACGGATTCTGGAGAACAAGATGAGAAATGAGGACACAGTATGGGAAAGAATACTATGTTAAATCACAGAGTGGTTGAAGTTGGAAGGGACCTGTGGAAGTCATCTAGGCCAAATTCCCCTGCTCAAGCAGGAACACACAGAGCTGCTTGCCCAGGACTGTCCAGGTGGCTTCTTCTGAATATATCCAAGAATAGAGAGACTCCACAACCTCTCTGGGCGACCCATGCCAGTATTTCATCACCCTCACACTGAAAAGCGTTTCCTGATGTTCTCTGAGGCCATTGCCTCTGGTCCTGTCACTGGACACCACTGAAAAGAGCCCGGCTCCATCCTCTTTGCACCCTCCCTTCAGGTATATATAGACATTGATAAGATCCCTCCCCCCAAGTCTTCTCTTCTCAAAGAGTCCAAGGTCTCTCATTCTTTCCTCATATAAGAGATGGTTATGAAAAGAAACCCATATACTAAGGCTTCCTCCACACACAAACTGAGTACCATTATGTCTTTACCAACTACAGTAATTTGTTGAAAAGAAAGGTCAAGCACTATCCATGCATTTTTTTTGAGTCTTGTCTCGTACTCCCCAATTTCCCAAAGTCTTACACGATGTTTTCATTCTGTTCATATCTTGACTGTATCACATCTGTAGTGCAGCATTCAGCCTAACCTACTTAAGTGTGAACACCTGCACTGCAAAGGCCAACCCAATCCATGGATGCCAATATGTTCCCATGGAAGGCACTAAGGCTGCTGAATGGTCATCTCATGTTCTTTTTGCTACACCAACCTGGGCCATTTTTTTTTTCAGTGATCTAATCATCTGTCTTTCTTAGCAGGAAATTATTAAAGAGCACTGAAAAATTAAAATAGAATAATTAGAATACAGCAAAAAAATTGGCCTGAAACTTGATCCATGCCCTGTGGTAAAACACCAGTCCAAAGCATGGGAAACCAAAATGAGACAACTGTGTGTTCTGCAGGGGAGAAAATGTTTAGGGCAGCAACCTGTTAAGAATCCATATCAAATGAGCACTGAAAAGAAATGTATTACTTCTCCTCTAAAGGGAAAGTACCCTACATTCAGTATTCCAGCAGAACTCAAGATATAAACCTAAGTGCTCTCAAACCCAAGTATTTCACTAACCATTGTCACAAGTAACTAAAACAATGACAGAGCAGTTCTTTAACCTCCTGTGCTGAAGCCCCTATGACAAAGACCACATCAGGGCAATTGATGTGTTATGGAAATTCAGTCCATGTGTTGAAAACCACAAAACAGAACAGCTAAGTTTTAGCTGCTAAGGAGGCTACAGACAGGCAAAAGTCAAAAAGAGTGCATGTTTCAACAAAGAAATGATAATAAATTACAATAAATTATCTTTCAACGGAGAAAGGTAATTCTAATAAATGTGTCTCTGGAATTCGCCTTCCCTAGTCAGAAATGACAGATTTGGAGCATCACTTTTACATTACAACTGGCAAACAATCTACCTAGTTTTTAACTTGATATACTCTCACTGGAAGTACAATCTAGCTGCCTGTGATGGCACCTGATTGAGTTTAATGGTTGAGAGAAAAGCTCTTCTTGGATGTTTCAGAATAAAAAGGCATTTCAGTAAAAGTTCTCTTCCTTCTGTGTGTTTCTGCCAACATGTAACATGTCTGCAAAGGGATGCACAGGCATAGAAAACAGAAACGCCTTTTAATACTACATGTAGTGACAACGAGGTCCCCTGCCAGCCTGTCCTCTGCTGTTATAAAACAAATACGCTGCAGGCATCTCCCTTCCTCGCATATAGATTTTATATGTGGAAAGTGTAACAAGAAGCACCGATATGCTTTGCACAACAAAACCAAGACATTGGTGTATAAACTGACATACAAAGAAGACCACCAAACAGGTTAGACTTACTCTAGGTAAGCCCACTATTCACCTACAAGCAGTTTTTAACAACTTCTGACACTTCACTGGCTTATATTATTCCAGAAAAATAAGACTTTTCTGAATTTTTTTTCTCCTCTAGAGAAATGTGGGGGGGAAGTCCCATTTTCTAACTGTATATAATCACTTGGTATTGATTAAAATAATGCCTTCATCTTAAATCAGCAGGACAAGTTTCCCTTGAAATTTGCTGTTTTAAATAGCACCTGAAATTTACTTAAGGTAAACAATTACACACACACAATGGCATCAAACTGTCGTCTTCTCACTGTCTTTTACTTCACTGAAGAACAAATATTACCCTATTAAAAACCAACAACCAAAAAAAAAACACCCCAAAGAAACCAACAAAAATGGGCCACAGAAAGTATTTCCTATGGTCCTCTAGCAAAAATTCCATTGCAGAATAATATTCATCAATAGTGCTATTAAATAAACAGCTGCAAAACACTCAACTTTTCTACTTCTCTTTCTCTGTTTCCAGGCTCCTCCCTGCAGCAAATAATTTAAACAATTACATAAATCTTGAAAAATTCCTGGAGAATTTACAAAGCTATATAGCTTCATATGTCAGGCATCAACATCCATTAGGGTGCCCAAAGATACTTTTTGCCTGTCTTCACCCATCTCCAACTACACTTGAAGTTTCCTAAACTGCCAGCCTACAACGTTTCCTCTATTCCTTGAATGCTAGCTCTCACTCCATTAATCATCAATGCCTGCTCAGATTTCTGGAAAAGTATACAAAACACATACTGTAATGCCATTAATTTCATTTTATGATTAAAGCTGTAGAGACAGCTGCAGAAAGGCAAGGGCAACAACAACAAATCTGTCCAAAAATGCTTGAGCACCTGTTTTCAACAGTGGTCAACTCTCTAGTAAAGGGTTGATTTCTGTCAAGTGTTGGGAAAATGCCAAATTGTTCAGTTGTTAAACTGCAGACCAGCTAAAGCTCTGAATGGAATAGAATGGGACAGAATACACCTCTCTTGAGATGTTTCAGGTTCTTTTCAGAGGTAGACAGACAACACAGCTGCTTTACACACTTAAATTTGAGGACTTTTTTTGTACTCACTATTACTATTTATACCTATCTTGATAATGCCTAATGACCTCAATTATGAGTCATTGTGCAACACACTATATCATATACAACCTGAACAAGAACAGCACTTTTCAACTCGTGTAAATAGGGCTAAGACCTGAGCCTAAGTGTGATTCTGCAGCAATTTTCATAAATCAAGTAACTGCACCTGCAAAAAGTTTAATGAGCCTCAATTACAAACTCAATTAACTCCAATAAATAAAGGAAATAAGAACAGGTTTATAATGAAATAAAGTCTAAGCAAACTCTCATCTGCAATCATATACTAAGAGTTTTCACTATATAAGGAAAGGCCAAAAAGGCCAAAATCTAACATAAAGCCCTTTGATAATACTCCATCACAACTCTAATAAAAAGTTCTATTGAATAAAACACTTTTTTGTAAATGCTAGGAGGTTTCTAAGGCAAAGTTGTGACAATCAGAAGCTTTTAGGGAGATTAGAAAAAGCATATGCCAAACTCCCCTGACACATCCCCCTTACAGCAAGGCAGATCACTTACCACAAATAAGGCTCCAGTGGCATTTTGTGCTGCTGTTCTGTGCAGGTATCGGACCTGTCTTACCTACAAACAAAATACAGTGTTAATAGTAAATAATTCACACACTGCTTTCAGAACCAGTGTGATTTCTACTCTAACTGTAAACCATTAATTCCACTTCCATCACTAATAATTTAAACTGAGTCTAGAAGAGACTATTAAGGGCTCTCCTGTGTCGTTAGGAGAGCAAGTCTCTTGATTCCCCCCTTGGCTAATTGAAACAATGTAGAAATTAAAGGATTTAACTTCGCCACTGTTTAATTTAAGTGCCTTGAACACAACTTCTCATCAAACATTTCCTGAAGAATTTTCCAATTTGTTACTTTATATCACTTTAAAATTTGCAAAAACCATCATTACTGCTGAGGTTCTTCTCCAGTAACCATTTACATGCTTCTTCAGCCTTTATCGAACCGAGCACTGGGATCAGGCATAAGAGGACAAATGTAAACACAAACCTGAAATTTCAACAGAACATAGACTCATACACAAGTTCTGTTCAGCTATTCTCTGTACTCGCTGTCATCAAAGTTTCTAGATTCTGGCTGGTATTTCTAAGGTAATTCGATAATAGTATCTTGTCATAAGTAATCATTCTATAACAAATTTAATTTTATATTAAATTATATTTATACTGAATTCTAGAGCAGTGTTGAGATGTGTTAAAGCAGAACCACAGAATCACGGAATGGTTCGGGCTGGAAGGGATCTTAATGACGATCCAGTTCCAACCCCTCTGCCGTGGGCAGGGACACCTCTCACTAGACCAGGTTGATCAGAGCCCCATCCAACAGGGCCTTGAGCACTTCCAGG